ATTAGAAATGAACAGATTGGATTGGCTATTCCTTTTTTTTTTTTTTTTTTTGATGTGTGACAAGGACAAAACTTTATTAAAGGGATTGGAGAAAAGGTATGAATTTGATAAATGTCAATTTATATGAAAATATTACATTTTTTTGTAAGATCTTATGTTTTTTATTTTATTCATATTATATTATTATTAACTTTTTAATTTTTTTAAATATAAAAACTTTACTTCACATTCCTTCTAAATTGTATATATATATATCTAATATTTTTTTTTGAAAAGCATATATATATATCTAATATTACTGTTATATATATTTTGGAATGTGCATTTAATTACACTAAAATGTCATTCAAATAATTTTTTTTTTTGTAACTTTAATTTGAGCATTTATATTAATATATTAAAATAATTTGTAATACAAGTTAAAGGAATAAAATAAGAATGGACAAAAAATGAGCTATTACGTCATCGTTAATAATCATGAAAAAATGCAATACATGGCAATGTGGGCGTTATGTGACGTTATTTATCTAATGTGGATGATTTTGTTGATGATGTGGGACAATGACATGGCATAATTTACGTGAAAACCTCCCAACCAAAAAAAAAAATCATTGTAATTAACTTTAATTTCTTTCACCTTCTTCTTTCACCTTCTTCTTTCCCCTCATCCTCGACCTCATCTTCACCGTCCTCTTCGTCATCCTCTTGGGAACCCAAGTTTTGGGGTTCCACAAACCCAAAACTGGGTTCAGGAGGAACCCAGAGCTTGGGTTCCTCTTGGAGCTCAACCTCTGTGGAAGATCGAAAAAAATTTCATCCATGGTTATAATGAAGGTTGATTCAAATTGTCAAAAAAGGAACAACTTTTTAATTCACTTGCAAGAAAAGTTGAGAACCCATCAAAGAATCAAATCATCATCTTATTATTCTATCAAAACCAGAAAGAATTACAGAAAAGAAAGGCGAAAGAAAGGTACAAACTGGGTTCAACGAGGAACCCAGAGCTTGGTTCCACCATGACGAGGAACCAAGAGCTAGGTTCCTCATCGTGAGGAACCTAGACGAGGACAGATCGAGTTCCATATCATGTATCACCAGTAGCCATAAGCAAGAAGAAATGCCAGAACAGGACTCCAGATAATGCAACTAATTCTATTGGAACAACATAAAATCAAAAAGCAAGAGACTGGTAACAATTAAGAAATGATGAAGACTGCACTGTGCAATAAAAAGCACCTCCGAGCTGCGTCCAGTTATCAAGCATGTGATCCCCAATAGTCCCCAACTGGTAGCAAACGTGGAAAAAAATTAAAGAAACACTATAACAGACCGTAGTGGATTTAACGGCCCAAATATCAGCTTAAGCAACACCGTCCAAAAGAGGGCTACATTGAACAAAACAAGGGGAGTACAGGTGATCACTACAAGAAAACCTAGCTTCACCGACCAATTATCACCGAGGTAAGAAGGTTTCTCGGTGAAGCATCAATTTATCGACAAGAATCAAGTCTGCAACTTCCGAAACAGTCGAAACGCGAGTAAGATATATTATTTAGTATACAGACGTAACACTTGTCGATAATTCAAGATAATACATACGTGTCACACGTCAGTAAATGCAGCATCTACTCCGGCCGGTGAGAGGAAGACGGAAAGCCATATCACCAACGAGGAGAATGCCTGTAAATTCAAATTTGGAACGACAGTCTCGTCGGTAATTGAGGTTCAATTTCCAACGTCCACCTTCTCAGTAATTTGCACTCCCAATGCACCCCCAGCCAACCCCCCGCCAACCAGCTGGCTGCCTGCGGCAGGGAGTGCAACTTTTTGCTGCAATTTGCCGACATAAGCCTTGTCGGTAATTTGGCATTCAGCAACTCCCCGCGAATCCGGCTGCTGGCCGGTGGCATTGCAGCTTTTATGTCATTACCGATGAGATGCAAGTCGGTAATACGTACATTGCCAACTTGATGCTCGTCGGTGAATGGCCCGGTCAACGAGAATCCTGATGCAATGCAGTGGTGATCAGCTTTAGACTGTAGCAACGTGGGTTTCGTCGGTAAATTTGCCTATGCCCTGCCGACCCACCCTTCTGCCTTCATTTTGGTCTTTCTCCTTCCATTTTCATTTCCCTCTTGTCCCGCGAGTTGTTCTTGCTCCCTTTCCTCCATTCTTTCCTTTGAAGCACTTTAACACATTTTTCTTCTTGCAATCTAGTGGATCAAGCAATGGTAAGTAAA